AGAAAGGCTATTGGGACTTAAACTCAACCCAAAGCTCAAGTACACACAATCCATCATTAAAGATACTGAAAAAATGGTCAGTTCCCTGTACTACTCCAGCAAGTACCACACTCCTCCTGCTATCCTCTATCTTTACAAGAGTAAGATCAGGCCGAAAAAGGAGTACTGCTGCTATATATAGTGTCCAAAAGCGTCTCCTCGTCATTGTAGGTAACCAACTATTTCTCACTCTGCAATGTCTTTCTCACAGACGTTATTCTATTGCTATTTTCACGGATAGTGTTCAGATGAACTACACTCCTTAGTCCCACCAGTCATAATCTTCATGGATAAAACCTGTCATGCCATGCACATTATATTGGACCACCCACATTCCTTTCATATTTCCCTGGTGAGATGTAAGTTCCACTCAAGTAGCTTCTTCCCATGAACCACTGCCTTCGTGGAACCAACTCCCAATAGATTGCTCCCTCGGCCTCTACAATCTTAACCTGTTCAAATCTAGGGTTAACCATTATCTTCACATGTATTTGCATTAGCTGTGCCTCTTACACTTTAACCCTCTACTATGAGTGGCCCCTGGGCCATGCACAGGGAAAAAGACCACTGTAAACAAAAAAAACAAAAAAAAGTTACAAGCATCTGAAGAAGACCAGAGGGCACAATGGTTGAAACTTTGATTGATTCATTCATTTTCTATAGTTTATCAACCTTTTGCAGGTTATTTAAAGCCAGAAAATAATTTTTAGATTGTAAGAATCATTTTTTTTTTTTTTTTTTTTGAGATAATGGTTTAGTGATACATAGCTGGAGGGAAAAGAGATGGATTCATGTTTTCCCCAACATTATTTGCATGTAATTGAACATAATGAACCCAACCAGAATTGGAACTCGGCTCTCCAATTAACAACTCCTAGCCATTATCTATTGCACCACGTCCACATTCAAGCCTACAGTCATTCATCAAGATACTGACCAGGTTCGACATTGCTTAACTTCGGTAGAGTGGAACCTGTGTTTCACCATTGTAGAATGGAACCCGTGTTTCAGCATAATACATTTGTAAGCCTCCCAAATTTTGTAATAACAAAGATGAGGACAATAGTCAGAGTATAAACAATGTAAATAATGATACCTCCCAGAAATAGTCAGAGTATAAACAATGTAAATAATGATACCTCCCAGAAATAGTCAGAGTATAAACAATGTAAATAATGATACCTCCCAGAAATAGTCAGAGTATAAACAATGTAAATAATGATACCTCCCAGAAATTTAGACAGAATCATCAGTGGTCATGAATTAATGCAACACTTAATACTGAAAAAAATAGTTATTTATAAATTCTTTTTCAGAACCATTTTTCAGGCTTTTATTCTTTTCTTTGTTTTATTATAATAGCAGCAGCCTTATGCCTCTTCTTCAGAATGAAATAAACAAATTCACATTCAGAACAGTCTCATGATTAATTTGCCAAAGGACGTCATTCAACCTTGAACAAAAGCAAATTGTGTATAGAACAGTTACCAGCAACTGAGGAATTAAAGTAAATTTTAAATTTCTCAGGCATGAATATCAACCTCCCTTAATCCTATCCCACCCAGCAACAATACTATGACCTTCTAACAGGCTCACCCCTGGGGGATAGACATGAGGGCAATGCTGCACAAGTCACACTCACTAAAATGTAATATATGGACAAAAGTATTTAAATATCTGTAATATATGTTTCTACAGAAAAATGCTGATAAAAAAAAAAAAAGGCTTTAGAGAAAATGGAAACAAAAAGGAAACATATTTAACACCAGGAAGAGACAGTTGAAATTTCTAGGGCACATAATGTGGAAGGAAGGTTTGGAAAATCTGATGCTCACAGGACAGATTGAGGGCAAGAGGGACAGAGGAAAACAGTGCGTAACATACTTGATGAATTTAAGTAAATGGATAGCAAAATAGGGTTTAGGATAAATAACAAAGAGACAAAATTTATTAAGAGCTACAAAGAACAGGAAATTGTGAAGAGCCACGATCCTGAGAGGACACATCACGTAAAAATGATAAAGTGGAAAGATTTTTTTCATGTGATGTGTTTCATCCTTTAGAACTTTATTGGACTAAAGGGATGTTTTCATTGATCTGATTACACATGCACACGGAGGAGAGAGGATGAATAAATGAAGGAATAAATATCTAACAAATTAACAAACTACAAATTTAATAAATCAATGAAAAATACATAAATACAAAACACCCAAAGTAATCAATAATAAAAAAAACAACAACACTATACAATAGCTACAAATAACTACATTCTAGCCCATAATTATTTCTACTTAATAACTTTTAGAATAATTTGAAATACAACTATTGCCACTTACCCAATAACTGTTATAATACAATAGACCTTGCAACCCATAATACACCTTTGACCAGCATATATAAATAGTTGAGCCACCAACAACAGACACAGCCCAGAGATTGCATTCAAGCATGAAACAGACTGTTGCCACTGAGTGTTAACCTCAGTGCCCACATGTTCTATCTCTGATATTGAGCACTTTACCCATAAATATATCATACTTTTAAACTATATTTTTATCATTCATATATATATAACTTTACAACAATCATAGCAACATCTGAAACCTTTGTCAAGAAAAAAATAGCTATAATAACATTCCAGAACAAAAAAAAAAAAACTTTTGAATCAGAGATTAGAAATTATGACTGTTGTATACCTACTAAAGAAATGTATATTTCATTTAATCCCCTACTGATTCACCTCCTATATACTTGATTTTCCCCTCCTCCCTACCTTCTACCACACCACAATGTTATGCACTTACTCAGAAATTTTTTATTTTTAAAAATATAAAGCGTTAGGAAATCAGTTGACCAAAATCACCTGAAGATAACAAAAGGCTGAAACCAAGGTAGTATAATCAGCTGATTTCCTTATATATATATATATATATATATATATATATATATATATATGTGTGTGAAAAGTGAATATAAATATAAATAAATATATATATATGTATAATTATTTATATATTATATGTGGCATTTATTAGAAAGCTCAATATCAGAGATAGAGCTAACATATTTGGTTGGATAGATGAGAGTTTGTGACCCTGGGTTTCACGCTTTAGCGATCGTCAGACAAACCCTGACGATCGCTAAAGCGTGAAACCAGGGTCACAAAAGATCTATCCAACCAAATATATATATATATATATTTCTGGAGAGAATATTTTGAATATTAATTTTTCTCAAGTGCACAGGCTGGTAGATTTAATACACACTGTTTAAAAAAAAAATAAAAAAAAAAAACAAATGTGACATCAATTTGAATAATGCCACATAAGTTATGTGGCTTCTCCTCAAAAGTGATCTGGTTCAGGGTTCTTGCTAGAGAGCACATTTTGCTTAAGTTTTCTCAAGTGTGTAGACCAGTAATCATAGTACATATGTTTAAAAAAAAAAAAAAAAAAACAACAGGGTGTCTATTCAAACACATGTATCCAGTAAAAAATAACATTACAATAAATTACAATAAAAACATTTTACATCACTACACAAAAACTTTCATGTTTCAGTACTAAGATGGTACCTCTTCAGGTGGTGGTAGCAAACTAATGATAAAAATGATTTATTAGGGAAATTTAAAAAACAAATCTTTACCCCTTTTCGCAAGTTAACATGTTGTGGGGGTGTAAGGACAGAATTAAAAACATACTTATGGGTATGTCTAGATTAACCAACAAATGTTACATCTACACTAACATATAAAAATAAGGTCAGAGTGTGGGGAGGTGGGTGTGTTCCCTTTAACTTACTTTAATATCTTTTTACAAGAGCATAAAATTTAATTTATTAACTATAACAAAAAATTATTTATTTACAAAATTATAAAAATATGTGTATAGTTCACTTTAAAAATAATTTTATAGTTTGTTAATTCTTGAAAAGAAATGTATAGATCCAGTTTCCTATACTATGGTTTTATTAAAATTTGAAAAATAGCTCTTTAAAGAACTAAAAATTACCAAGGGAACATATGGTAATAACAGTGTCAAGAGAAAAATGTCCTGTTGACAAACCATCTTTGCCTGGTCATATGTTTTTATTTATTATCTTTATTATAATGTTTTATGAAATAAAATACAAATGAGTAAGCTGGTCTGAAAAAAAAATCAATATATAATATACAAAATCTATCAGGAATAAAAAGGTAACAGTTTCTTATTACAATAGCAGAACTTCTAGGCCTGAAACAACTTTTCTACTAAAATTTTATTTCTAACAGTTATCCTCTGATGCCTGTCCCTCACCTTTATAAATATGACAGGTTAATAAACAAAACATTGTCTAAGTGTCATATAAATCTACCATTCATCCATGCAATGAATACTGTTGCCATATCTGGTCTGATGTTCCTGCTGTACATCTCAAGATTCTTGACAAAATCCAAAGAAAGATTTGTAATGTAATCAATTCTGGCCAGGCATCTCAATTTCAGTCACATTTCCATCAATATAACAAGGCTTCCCTCTGTCATTTCTACATATATTTTCATGGCAACTGCCGTGACAAGCTTTTTTCCCCTGGTGCCCCAACTACATTAATTTAAGTCTGCTACTAGATTGGCAAGTAGGTCTCCAATTTCTACTCCTATAATTTATTTTCTCACACTTGCCATCTGTTAAACTCCCTTCAATTTACCTGCTTTCCCGATAAATACAATCTTCAAAAATTTAAATGCAACATCAATCACCATCTTCTGTTTTCTTGAACTCTGTTTCTTTTTTGTTCTTTCCTAAATACTCCCCACTAAAGTCTAAAAAAAAATTCACTTGACATCTTACAAACATATTGAGAAACCTACATCTCTAAGTCCAATACAAATAGCCACATCCCAACCAAAAAAAAAAAAAAAAAAAAAAAAAAAACAAATGAAAAAACAAAACAAAAACAAAGTTATGAAACAAACTTACCTGCTGATGCTGTGCCCAGGACTGGATGTCCAGCCTTGGAAACACTGACCTCCCACACTCCATCTCGGTGACCTGTGTATTCTCTAACCAAACTGTATGCAGCTGGTGTGGTTCGGAAACTGGATACAATTTTACTTGTGGACACTTTGTAAGTCGATTTAATCTTCTGAGATATCTGACTAGCCGCTGGAATTTAAAAAAAAATATATATATATATTATTTTCTTATGTAGTCACAAGTATATAAATATAATTACAACTATATAGGGCTTCACTGATAAATATGGTCTCTGATACAATAAACAAGTTTTACACTTCTTCTATGTGTCATGTCCATTCATGACATGGGCAATAGCTCTCCACAACCTCCTATGCTTTGTAGTCCTCAGCAGTATTTCTCCCTTTGACTATACATCTATCCATCCTAACCATTCCACTATTCAGTCCCACAAGCTTATCAAGTAGGTGGTTCACTGCCCTCCCTTATCTCTCTTGCCTTCATTATGCCTCATCAGGATTATGTTTTCCAAGTATCATTATGTGATATCATTATTATAAGAAAGAGATAGCTGAAATTTCTTGATTTCAGCTATCTCTTTCTTATTCAGGCTGTAAGTGTTCTCTTTATTGAAACTTTCTTGTTGGTTACTTGTTCTGTCCATAGAATTCTCAGCGTCCTTCTGTAGAACCACTTTTCTGTTGTCACCAGTTTTTGTCTTAAGGCTGTTATTCATATTCATGAATCCATTACCAACGTCAGAACGCCCTCAGATGGTTTGAATTCAAAGGTTTCTTTTAGACTGGCTTCTATAATCCTTTCAGGTTAAGTTGTATGTACCTCTCATAATGGTGACATATCAATCATGCAAAGTCCATTTTCCTACGCTTGTTAAAGGATGACATTCCTGGTTAAAAGTCTGCTGAATATTTTGGAAAATTATATTCAGTTCCAAAGTGAAAGATCATGAAGAAAATGTCCCTCTGGAATACTTGGAACATATCAGACGCGAATGGTTTGGTTTGTTTTACGAGAGAAGTTTCACACTAGATATTGAATGAAGCAAATCTGTCTTTAAAATTCTAAATCTGTTTTTCAACAGAGTCACCATTTATAAAAATATACGACCTTTCAACCCCTCTCTCAATTTAAAAACAAGCAAAAGTCAACTGGTAGTAAATCATGGCAGTATGAAGATGTACATGGTCGATTTGAAAACTGACCATTGGTCATTGCTCATGAAACAGACTTTAAGAATGCAAAGTACAATTATCTCCCTTTGGTTGAGACGAAGTCACATAACAGCCAGGGTGTAACATTAGTTCATAGAGTCTCAAAGACTAATTGTTACATAGACCGGAGAAGACAGACAAGCCCACAGCAGTAGGGTGAATAGAGGATTCCACATGGTCCCACCACAAACAAAGGACACCATCAGCCTGCCCATTTTCCCCATTGGGAAATATTACAGGCAAGACTGTCTACCTTTTGGCCCCTTTCACACTGTTGTAAACATGTGTTATAATTTCTGTGTGGGACAAATTTGTGATAAGTATATATATTTGTCATTCCTTTCTTTCAGCTATTCTGTTCCATGTATGAATCAAGGTGTTACTACATCACAGATATAATAATGCCAATAATGGAGGAAAGCAAACAGAATAATCCTTTCTTGCATAGCACCCACATTAACACCAATAGACATTTTTCCCATCCATACAGTCATCATCATAAATTACTTTCAAATATTTGTGAATTTTGATTAGTACACAACATTCTAGCACCAAATGTTTTATCACTGTTTTCTACTTTATTTATAACTCATTGTATTCATGACTAACAAACGCTATTATTCAATCCCATAATGAACCAACACTAAACACATTTAAACAGGACCTTAATTATTGCCAAATACATGTTCAAGCATGTGTTCTAATTCTACTATTAACAATGCTACTTATGAGACTCCTTATCAATCAATTGTTGCATATACATCAAAAAATAATTGATCCTGTTTAAAAGGCAATCAATCAACCACATAATTTTAGGCTTGATTGATTGACTTGTTTTTAAGGCTTATCAACACTTTGAGGGTTACTTAAAGCCAAAACCTCTTTCAGAGTGTAGAAGGTCACTTACAGAAACCGGTGTTCCCAAGCAGTCCTCCATCTAAATACTGACCAGGTTCGACAATGCTTAACAAAAACTAGAGTTTCAACATGATTTAATCATAGACACATAATTTTGGAAAAAAACAATCTGGCTTCTCAGTAGTTCAAAATATGAAAGAGGCATTTTTTTTTTTAATTTTACAGATCAACCTCAAAGTTTGAAGTAATTTTCTCAACTTTCTGGTTTTATCATGTTTCAAGCACATACTCTGGAGTCTTCCTCAGGGTTTTGCTGTATTCTGGAATGGGGATTTTGATCTAAACCAGTCCAGCACAATTAAAAAAATATGAAGGACCAAATTGCTTGCAGAAAATTAGCCACAAATCACAAAAGTAAATCAATGTTAGAAAAATGGCACTAATGCATCCCAAAATAAGTACATCTTAATGCAGTGGTTTCCAAACAAACAGTGTGGCATGCCTCATAGTTGTGATGGAAGAGGATAACAGATAAGATGGAATGATTGAAAGACAAAGCTTTAGAAACAGGTTAAAAATAATTCATATGCCAAAATAAATGATTTCAAAATTTAAAATATCATTATGGATTACTTGTCCCAGCATAAATAGTTATAAATAATTATTGACCCATTTTATAATTGTCACATTTTTGCATTATATCAAGTATTAAGAATACAGTAACTAGGCTCCACAAATTGGAGGAGAGAGTTATCAATGATAATGACATGAGAGTTGGGAGTGATAAAATTCTTTCTTTTTCCTTTTCTATAGAGAGTTAAAGTGATTAATTAGATACAAAGACAATGAAATGTTGGTTGAACAAAGCCAAGCTTCCACAAAACTGATCAGTCCCCAAAAATCCTTCTGCTGATGTCACAATGAATAGCACTCTCCACACACACACCATTATATTGGGTAAGCCTGCTTGAAACTAAATAAAATTCAGCACATTCCAGAACAAACTCGTTGGAGGCCGGGGTGAGCAGGATATGGTCAAGACATGTATTTGATGACCTAAAAAAACCTACACTCACACCTTCTACCTGACCAAAAACTGGGACATTCAAAAAAAAAAAAAAAAAAAAAAAAAAAAAAAAAATGTATTCAGGTCTTATCTGTAAAGTTGAGGTACCTGGTAAACTAATGTTTACCCAGACACGATAAACTTAACGGATTTTATAGCAAAACCAACTCCATAATACATAAATACTGCTATTGTTACTATCACCAAAGTTAAGCAATGTCAAGTCTGGTCAGTACCTAGATGAGTCACTGCTTGGAAATACCAGATGCTGTAACCTTGGATGTGTGGGCAGTGTCATCGTTTAATAATATTAAATGCTTACCCTGGGTACCTTGGCATGGTTAATGGTTAGTAGTTCTAACTAGGTGCCTCATACTTGTAACCTTATGACAAACTAAGCTAAGTTTTTAAGAGTACCTCAGTGTGGTGTAATGGTTTGCAACCTTGTCATGTTGAATGGAGTAATCCTCACAAGTTTAATGTATAACAACATTAAATGCTCACCTATAAATGTAATAACAAATTTTAATATTCCCTGCTGAAATGGAAGGGCTGGATTTTACAAGTCATTAAATATTGCAGGTTAGATTTTATAAGCTATTTTAAATAAATGTAATACACACTGTTTAAAAAATCAAGCACCTGTTTGAAAAATATCATATGGTATTTTTTTTTTAGTGTACAGGCACAATGTTTAAAAGACAGGTATCCACTAAAAAAAATAATGTTTGAAGTAATATGTATATATATATATATATATATATATATATATATATATATATATATATACACACAAAAACATGCCATAATATCTTTCTTTTTATGTGCCATGTCCTTTCAGGACATGGGCAATCATGGTTCTCCACCTCCCTCTATCACTTGCATCTCTCAATAAGTTCCTTCCCTCTGCTTCTTCCCCCATACCACAATCTTTCATCCACTTGCTTAAGCCCACCAGGTATGTCACGCAATGCTTTCCCTTGTTTCTCTTTCCCTCTATAACACACCCATGAGCATCAGATTCTCCAGGCCCTCTTTCCTCATTATGTGTCCCAGAAACTTCAGCTGCCTCTTCCTGATGTTAAGTATAAGCCTCCTCCTTGTTTGCAACCTCTCTAAGACCTTATCATTGCTAATACACTCAGTCCATGATATCCTTAGCATCCTTCTGTAGAACTACATCTGTCACCTCAAGTCTCTTCTTCATCTTTGAGGAAATCGCCCAACATTGACTGCTGTAAAGAAAGACAGATGTCACATAACAGCTTTTGGAATGTACCCTTGGCCATCCTAATATGTTTATGGGTCTCAGTGTTGCACTTACCATCAAAACACTTCCCAGATATTTAAACTTCTGCGCCTGCTTGATTCTAGTGTTCTCGACCTGCAATTCGTGTCTCGGGCTCATCCTCTTACAGATGACCATGCATTCTCTATTTTTCTATAAATATTTTCATGGTAATTATTCTGATGAACTTTCCTGTATGGTACCACACATTAAGTGCAGTACTATATTGGTGGCAAGATCTCATCATTTTACAGTTCAAATGGTGAGATGTAACCCTAAGTTCCATGCTAACAGTTTATCTTGCACTTCTCAATTATGGAACTTTCTTCCAGTGAACTTTGATCTTCAAAAATTTAAATGCAATGTCAATCGCTATCTTTTGTCTTCTTTTATTGTTCTCTCTCCTTAATGATTTTTTTTTATTCTCTCACATTAAGTAAGGCAATAAAGCCCCTAAGATGTAAGGTACATCTTAGGGGCTTTATTGCCTTGCTTGTGGTAAAAAGAAAGTCCTTATTGGTGATCTTGTCTTGTCACCTGATGTTGAAAATGTCCCTCAGGCACGTGTCAAAAAATGTTAGCAGTTTTTACTGCAAAGCTTTGGTCATTCTCTGTCATGTAAATGTAAAACTGGAGCAATTTGAAAGTAGAATTAAAAGATGTACATTTTGGTGGTTGTGCTAAATTTCCCAGCGGTCCAGATGTTTTTCAACCTAACAAAGGTCATTTGTGCTTTAGCAATCTG